AATATTATTTAAACTTTCATGGTAGTCCATCTGAAAACATTAATCTAATTACTATATAAATTTTCAACAGCCTTCATTAGAGGAATTCAGCGCCAAAAGCAGCGCCATTTTGGCGTTTGATGTAGCATTTGGCGCTACCTGGGAGAAGGTCTAACAAAAAAAGATTTTAATGAAGTTGAAGTTGATGTGATGTTTTAAAAATATCACTTGTGATAGTCTAGGTAAAACATCTTCATATCAATTAAAATACAAAAATAATTTGATCTAAAATTGATTGCATATTATAAATGTTTAGAAGTGTGACGATAATGCCCTTTAATTTTCTTCGAAATTGCTAATGGAGATAACTAGACTATTAGTAAAGTAGTAGTTGAACACCAGTAAGTATTGTTTGTGATGATATTGTTTCTAAATTAAGTAAATATTTAATTTAATTTCTACGCATAAACCTATTTTGTAATATTTATTCAAATTACATTCTATCAAGAGGCATAAAGAATATTAAGTAGTTAAAACAGAAAAGAAGATATAATCATCAAAATATAAATGGCATTGAGAAAGGGGATACAATTAGAAGGCAATGCATATCAACATATAACTTGTAAAATGTTTGAAACATATTTATTGATGGTACTTACAATTATGTTAGCACAATAAATTGAAAAATAAGTGAAAGTATAGCTTTTAATTACGTTTACGAGATCAATATATTCTTATTCCGCTAATGACCTTATGGTCTACTGGCACAAAGTGACCCTTTCAAATGGAAGGTCATGAGTTTGTTCCTCAGTGAGGACGATATTAACTCTTTGAGCTTCAATAAGTTAAAAAAAAAATAGTTATAAACAGATACTACATTATAACAAAAACATTTTTCTTATTCTTCGTCTTTAATAATGTATGTTTCACATAAATAGATATGCAAGCAATATAAATAATACGGAGTAATTAAAATATATCTCCTGATTAAAAAACATATTACAAAATATTACCTAGATTCATTGTTGTAGCTAAGTACAATATAATGGTTCAATTGTATGACAATTTAAATAGTTACATGATCTAATTATAGCTGAGATGATCTCATAGTGTCATTTGATTTTCTTTTCTCTAATTATAGCTGAGATGATCTCATAGTGTCATTTGATTTTCTTTTCTTTTTTTTTTTAATACAATTTTACAATCTGATTAAATTGTTGTTGATCAATGCTTAATATTGAGGACACTCAATTTATATATGAAGTGCAGAAAGGCAAAATCTTAACTGCTATATGAAACAACCTTTCCCTAATATCATTTCATGAATGTGGAAAAAATATTTTAATAATTAGAGATGATTTTTTGTTGTTCTAGAGAGTTTTATCTTTCTTACTTTTTTCTTTTTTAACAAAATCATCGACACATAATTTTTTTTTAATTAAAAATAGAGCATAATAAGTTTATAAACTTAATGGCCGGTTGATTGATAACTTATTTTCAAAAAAAAAAAAAAAAAAAAAAGACGAGAGAAGACCCTTTCTCAACATTTTTTTTTTTGTTGAATTTTTTTTTTTTTTTTGTTGAAAAATAAAAATATTGTCTTAAAAAGGGTTGAGAAAGAAATTTTCTCTCTACAAACAACTCTTCCTCTTTAAACTGTCAAACAAGTTACGAACAAGAAGTCTTCACACACAAAAAAAAATGTCTTTAACTTCATAAATTGGTCTTCCATTACTGTTGACCAAAGTATCATACAATATGCATCTAGGATGTTAATCTTAACCCAAAATTAATAGGTTAACCCAATAATATCAAAAAATTTAGATTTAGGTCAAATAAAGTTTAGGTCAATAAAAAATTAGGCAAATAAGCCTGATTGCTTTGCTCGATAAAAAGAAAAACGATTAGTTCAAACTATTAGGACTATTAGGACTCTATTATCCATATTAGACTAGGACTATATTATTCGTATTAGACTAGGATTCTATCTAGCATCTCTATATATTTGCTCTTCGCTCCTTGTCACTACAAGAAAAATGCACATAGACAACACTAGAAAGACAACAGTTTTTAAGAAAAGTGTTGTCTTTTGTATAAAAGACAACAGTTTGGTCCAAAACTGTTGTCTTTGATGCAACACTTTTGTCAAAGACAACGGTTTTTACTTAACTATTGTTATAAGTGTGTTGTCTTTGTGCATTTTTTGAAAAGACAACACTACAACGACAACGGTTTTTTAAAACCGTTGTCTATGTGCGTTTTTAAAAAAAAAAAGACAACGGTTTTTTTAACTGTTGTCGTTGCTGTGTTGTCTTTAAGCGCACTAGAATACACAACACTACAAAGACAACGGTTATTTAAAACCGTTGTCTTTGTGCGCTCTTTAAAAAAAAAAAAAAAAGACAACGGTTTTATTTAACCGTTATCGTTGGTATGTTGTCTTTAAGCGCACTAGAATACACAACACAACAAAGACAACGATTTTTTAAAACCGTTGTCTTTGCGCATTATTATTTTATAAAAGACAATGGTTTTATTTAACCGTTGTCATTTATGTGTTGTGTTTAATAGAACTTGAATACACAACACTATAACGACAACAGTTTTATACCACCGTTGTCATTGCGCGTTCTTTATTGGTTTAAGGCAACGGTTTTATTTAACCGTTGTCTTTGGTATGTTGTCTTTAAGCGTATTTGAATACACAACACTGCAAAGACAACGGTTTTTACGCATCATTATTTTATTAAAGCCAATAGTTGTATAAAATATAAACAAGGATGTTAACAACAAGAGTTGAACCTATAACCTCAAACATAACAATTAAGGTTTAACTGACTAAGCAACACAAACTCTTCTGTACCAAAGTGCAACATCTGGTATATAACTGCGTTGCTTTTGTGTTGTCTGTGAAAACCAAGACAACGATTTTATAAAATAGGTTAAGGATGCCTTTAGGAAGGATAGAACTCATGACCTCTAACATAACAAACAAAGCTAAATCCACCAAGCCACACCAACTCTTGTTTATTAAAGTGTTACACCTTATCTTTTACCTATAATTTGGACTTTCATTGTTTTTGTTACGAGATGAAAATAGATGTTTAGAAGATCTAGAACAAAAATAAAAATGTAATTAAATTTTTTTGTCCAAATATAATGCATAAAAGTTTAACAAATAAATAATACAATTCAAAAGTTAATTTTATAGTTCTATTTTCGTTCATATTTAAATATAAAATTATTCACCAAAATTTCAATGTCAATTCATTAAAGTTTATTTTCAATTCATTAAATTACATGCCATAGAATGACCATGTGCGGTGCTCAGAATGGTGTGGAGGGGTTAAGGGAACTCTATGTTCAAATTATGAATCTAGAGTAAAGATTTTATTTATTTTTTAATGCTATTGGCTCTATTTCTCAACATACTGAAACACAGAGAACCAATAACGCCTCCACTGATGTTCGAACTCACAACCTTCCAAATGGAAGTCCAACCCGGGTATCATTAGACCACATAGTCTTGGTAAAGTAAAGATTTTATAAATCTACAGTATAGAATTTATGAATCTACGGTATAAAAATCTATGAATCTCGCGTTCTGTACCTATATACCCGGTACTATTTTGGGTCTAGCAACCCGGGTAATAAAGCTAATATTTTCTTACCCTGTTCTATATCTATATCGCCCGGTTTATGGTGGACCCGGTCCCTATAAAACCATGAATATACCCGGCTTACAGGCACCCTAGTCTAGTGGTTTCTAGTCTATACCCGGCATCAACCTAGTCACTTGGGGTTCGATTCCTATTAGTAGCGCTAGCATAATTAGCTGTAGCCCATTCATTGGGTCGTGATCTTTGTATTTGTATCTTTATATTTGGGCCGCCATCTTGGGCCTGTACCTGGGACTTTATAAGTACTATTTTAGGCCTAGCACACCGGATAATAAAGTTACTATTTTCTAACCCCCGTTCTGTACCTATATACCCGTTACTATTTTGGACCTAGTGCCCAAAGTAATAAAACTATTATTTTCTTACCCCTGGATAATAAAGTTACTATTTTCTAACCCCCCGTTCTGCACCTATACGGACCCGGTTCTAATATATTTTCCATACAAATGAATTAGGATATCAATTCATTCTTATAATTGAATTGCTAGAGAACGAGCACATTTGCCTAATTTATAAGAATACTGAACATTGATAAATAAAATCTTCAAAGTTAGAGCACCGCATGCGTACATCTACACGTTAACTATTAATTTGAGCAATTATTTGCTCAAATTCAAGCATTGATTACATTAAAACACATAAACGATCCAAATCATACCTTCAATTTCACTATACAATATTTGATGTTTTAATTTAAATAATTATATATCGATCCAAATACTATTAATATATTACAACAAATCCATTCCGTACATCGCACGGACGAAAATACTAGTTTAATTAAAAATATCTTCCCTCTCTATTGTTTTTTAATTTTTTTAATTTCCTTCCAAAAAATAATTAATAATAATAATAAACCTTAGTTGTACACTTAGCAAATTTTTTAGTTTCCCTCCTGTACATTTGGCAAAATTTTTTTAGTTTCCCACCTATACTTAGCAAAATTGTTTAGTTTCCCTCCTACACTTGTCAATTTTTTTTAGTTTCGCTATCACTCTCCTGTACACGACATACACTCACACCTTAGACCTCACAACTCTGCTGCCATCTAGAACCGCCGTCGTCGCTCCGTCTCACACCTCCGTTGCCGTCTCACCCTCGCTGTATTTTCCCTCCTCTGCCAGCCGTCGCCTCTTCCCTCCCCGGCCTGTCGACGTCGCCTCTTCCCTCCATCAACATGGTACAGGTTAGTCTTCAACCCTAAGTTAGTATTAATTCTATTGTTCAATTTTTCATATTTGAAACTTGTGAGTGTTCTTAAACCCTAGGTTAATTGTTGGATTTTTCAAATGTATGTGATACAGTAAAGTGAGAAGAGTATGAGAATGCTATGCAAGAGTTCACGAAAAATGTCTCTGTAATTCTCTTTGAAATTGATCACTTTTGATATTTTCCTTATTTCACATCATTATTACATTACTTTTTGCTATGATTTCCCGCTAATGGCTTTCGTAAATGATCCTCTACTTCTCTATTGTAGAAGAGCAGCAGCTCAGAAGCAACTGTGTCTGAAGAATCTGAGCAGACTTCTGAGGTGAAAGATAACTCTGAGCATGAAGCAAGCTGTTAGGTCTATTGCAACAAAGTTTCCTTTACTATAGGGTTTGGTATTTCAATTGTTTCACAATTCAGACTAATTCCTCATGATATAGTCTACCGTTTGCATGTTAATGAGTGTAGTACTTAGATGGTTTTCATACTTCTATTGAATACATACTTGACAAGAATGTATCTACATATACTTTCTATTATGAGAATGCATGTTAGTAGTGTTACATTTATTTGTATAATTATTTGTTATATTAGTCTTGTACTTATAGAGTTGATTTAGTCTTGTAACCTACACCTATTATGTGGGGTTAGTTAGATAGGCTTCTATCTCTTTTGTAACTCTCTGTAACAATCTGAGTTTGAATTAATGTAAAACATTCACTCATCTGGTATCAGCTAGCCAGGTAGACTTTCTCTCTCCTCTCCTTTCACGATGTCGATGAATTCCAGTGAAAGAACAGTTACGGCCGCTGCTCTCTCTTCTCCGGCCACCCCAAACACATTATCTACGGCACATCACTTTGTGTCAATGAAACTCACCACTAAAAACTACCTGTTCTGGCGTACCCAATTGGTACCTTTTCTCCGAGGGAAAGGCCTTCTCGGGTTTGTCACGGGCGATACGCCGTGTCCTCCGGCGACCGTGACTGCACCGGCTACCACCAGCGACGCAGGCTCGGGCGGCACCACCGTCACCACTTCCCCGAATCCGGCGCATGCGTTATGGGAACAGCAGGATCAATCGATCCTGTCCTTATTAATCTCTTCCATGTCCGATGAGGTTTTATACCTCGCTGTGGGGCGCAGTACCTCGCATGATGTATGGTCATCCATTACTGCTGCTCTAGGGTCATCCACACGGGTGAGATGTCTAAATTTGCTTGCGCAATTCCAGTCCTTGCGTCAAGGAGATAGCACGCCGGGAGAATACCTCGGCCGAGCGCAGCTACTTGTGGAGGATCTGGCTCTCGCTGGCCGGCCTGTATCCTTGGATGAACAAAACTTATATGTTTTCCGAGGACTCAGGCCGGAGTTCAGGTCCATGGCTTCATCGCTCGCTGCTTCGGGGGCTCCCGTATCCATACCGCAGCTATCCGACTTTCTTCAGGCCCAAGAATTCATCTCGGCAGATGAATTCTCGCTGTCAGGTGTTCCGGCAGGCGGCTCTCACACGGCGCTGGCAGCTGGCCGTGGGCACAGTCACCACAATGGTGGTCCTCGACATGGGGGTTCCGGTCAAGGACGAGGTCGCGGCGGAGGGCGTGGCCGCGGTGGCAATGGCAGAGGACGCGGCGGTGTTCCCCGCTGTCAGATATGCCGATCCCAGGGGCACACCGCCGTGTATTGTTACCGGCGTTACACTGGACAGCCGCCGGTGCCGCAGGTGCATGCGGCAGTTTCTGCCGATGAAGCAGCGCAGGTCGTGCTGGACGCCTGGTTCCCGGATACCGGGGCTTCGTCGCACGCCACGCCGGATGCTTCGATGCTGACCCATTCCGAGCCATACTCCGGCGGTGATGTGTTGCGTGTGGGCAACGGTTCAGGTTTGGGTATTTCTAATATTGGCCATGCATCGTTAAATTCCGTGTCTAAATCTTTAAAGTTACGCAATATTCTTCATGTGCCTGATTTATCTTTACCATTATTGTCTGTTAATCGGTTTACCATTGACAATAATGTGTTTTTTGAATTTCACCGTGATCATTTTCTTGTGAAGGATTGTCAAACCAAGGCAGTGCTCCTTAAGGGTCCTACTACGGGAGGCCTATACAGATTGTCGTTGTCTCGGTCACCTGTTGCTTTAATAACCGCTCGTGCCACATCAGATGTTTGGCACCGTAGGCTTGGACATCCACATGAGCGGGCTCAAATTCGTGTCCTACAAAAGTGTCCGGTTTCACCCACAAAATCAAGTGTGCCGCAGTTGTGTACATCGTGTCAACTCGGGAAATCCTCTCGATTCCCGTTAGATAGGGTTGTTTCTCGTAGCAATAATGTACTAGACATAATATACACTGATATTTGGGGACCGGCACCCGTTGTTTCGGCCGGGGGTTTTCGGTATTTTGTTTTATTTGTAGATGATCACTCTCGGTTTTGCTGGTTTTACCCTATGCGGTTAAAATCAGACATTTATAAATTATTTGAGTCTTTCCGTGTCATGGTAGAACGCCAATTCTCGCGTTCTATCAAGTCTATCCAGTCTGATCTGGGAGGCGAATATCGCCGGTTGCATACAATTTTTCAAACACTCGGTATTGTGCATAGGCAATCTTGCGCCTATACACATGAACAGAACGGACGAGTAGAGCGTCGGAACAGACATATTGTCGAGACCGGATTAGCTCTACTTGCAAAAAGCTCGGTCCCTTTGAAATATTGGGATTGCGCATTTGAAACTGCTTCCTATCTTATAAACTGTCTTCCTTCGTCTGCACTAAAACACGTCAGTCCCTATGAGTCCATCTACAACAAAACACCAACATACACCTTTTTCCGTGTCTTTGGGTGCAGGTGTTATCCCTATCTACGACCCTATAATCGCCACAAGATAGAATACCGCTCTGCACCCTACATCTTTCTAGGGTATCCCCCGTCCTATAGAGGTTATCGATGCATGGACCTAATATCAGGAAATACCTTCATCTGTCGCCATGTTCGGTTTGATGAAAATGTTTTTCCATATGCAGCAGGTGCACAGGACACGGTTCCTACACATGGGCCGTGCGACACTACACCATGGGCTTCGGGTCCCTTGGTTCCGTGTGGGCAGTCCACACCACCCTTGAATGAGCCACCGTTGGCTGTGAGTGTTCCGCCCTTGGCCATACAGGAACAGCCAGGGGCTGCTACAGTACCGTGTCATGGTCCACGAGCCCGGAAACGACTATGGGCGCAACCTCAAGAACGAGGTCACGTTATGCGGCTTCGCCACCAAACTCGTGGGACGGATGAGCCTTTTCAGGCTCTTACGGCCTCCGTAGACCCTACGTGTTATAGTCAAGCAGTTGGACATCCAGAGTGGCGTGATGCCATGGACCAGGAGTTCAATGCCCTTTTACATAATAATACTTGGTGTCTCACTCCGGCTAAGCCGAATATGAATGTAGTCGGTTGTAAATGGGTCTACCGTACTAAACGGAAAGCTGATGGCACGGTCGAACGTCATAAAGCCCGCTTGGTTGCCAAAGGGTTTAATCAAGTTGCTGGCGAGGACTTCTTTGAGACGTTTAGCCCAGTTGTTAAGCCAACAACGGTCCGCATATTGCTTGCCATGGCGGTATCCCGGGGCTGGACGCTTCGTCAACTTGATGTTCATAACGCATTCTTGAACGGTCATCTCACGGAAACCGTCTATATGCGTCAGCCGCCGGGGTATGAATACCCGGTCCATCCGGATTATGTTTGTCATCTACAGCGGTCCTTGTATGGCCTCAAGCAGGCTCCACGAGCTTGGTTTAATCGGCTACATGACTATCTCCTAACGGCGGGCTTTGTGGCCTCAAAGACTGATGTGTCCCTATTTTACTATACATTAAATTCCTCACGTATCTATCTTCTTGTATACGTAGACGACATTATCATGATGGGCAACGACTCCAGTCTTCTTGATGAGCTACTACGACGCCTATCCACCACTTTTAAAATCCGTGATTTAGGAAGCCCTACGTTCTTCCTCGGTATTGAAACTATCCCACTAGATAACGGCATATTACTATCTCAACGCCGTTACATGGATGACATTCTCACTCGGGCTGGTATGACAGACTGCAAAGCCCTCTCCACTCCAGCAGCTGTGACAAAGTCCGTGACACCGACTACAGACCCTTATGAGAATCCTACTCAATATCGACGGCTGGCTGGGGCGTTACAGTATCTCACTATCACTCGTCCCAATCTCTCTTATGCGGTCAACAGACTCTGCCAGTTCATGCACACTCCTACTGATGAGCACTGGGCTATGCTTAAACGTGTTCTTCAGTATGTGAAAGGCACTCTCACACACGGCTTACGGTTGTCTGCATCGCCCTCCTCTGATGTCCACGCCTATTCGGACTCTGACTGGGCTGGGTGCCCCGTAGACAGGAAGTCTACCAGCGGATATGCGGTTTTTCTTGGGGCTAATCTTGTTTCTTGGGTTTCTCAGAAACAACGGACCGTGGCTAGGTCGTCTACTAAGGCAGAGTACAAGGGCTTTGCTGACGTGGCAGCTGAAGTTACCTGGGTTATGTCTCTTCTTCGGGAACTTGGGCTGCATTCTGGTCATCCCGCTACGTTGTGGTGCGATAATCTTGGGGCCACTTATATGTGTGCCAATCCCGTTTTCCATGCCAGGACTAAATATATCGAGATTGACTACCATTTTGTTCGGGACAAGGTTTCTACTGGGGAGTTCTTGGTCAATTTCGTCTCTACGAAGGATTAACTTGCTGACATTTTCACCAAGCCACTGGCTTCTGCTCGTTTCAGCTCTCTAAGGGACAAGCTTAATGTTGTGTCTCCACCACCTTCAGCTTGAGGGGGTATGTTAGTAGTGTTACATTTATTTGTATAGTTATTTGTTATATTAGTCTTGTACTTATAGAGTTGATTTAGTCTTGTAACCTACACCTATTATGTGGGGTTAGTTAGATAGGCTTCTATCTCTTTTGTAACTCTCTGTAACAATCTGAGTTTGAATTAACGTAAAACATTCACTCATCATGCAAACATGTCATCATATTATTAAGATGTGTGGACAATATCAATCTTGAAATGTTTTCCCTCAACCTTTAGAGCAGCTTTGGTGGTGATACATCTTATTATATACTCACAGGATTCCAGAATTTCCCTTGGTTACTTGTCTGTATTTATATTGTAACTTGTAAATAACTATTTTCTATATATCAGATTTGAAGATCTGAAGGACCAATTAAGAAAGCGTTTATTCAAGAAGCACAAAGTTAGAAGAATTCAGTTTGTAATTACAAATGGGGGTTTATCTATAGAATTGAATACATATGCTTTAATCCGTCCAACCAATCCAGGTTTGATTTTATTTCTTCATAGTTTCGTGAACCAAATATCTTCAAGATAATTGATAACTAATTTATTTTCTTCTTTCTTAGGGACTATTACTTGGCTTGATTCTGTCTCTAACCTTCCTATAAAGGTAATCAATCTTAATGTGACATCTCAAGGTACCTTGGGTTTTAGATAATCTTAGCTCATGTTTCCATTGCAAGCTTATGATGCATCTGAAAACGTTTTCTCACTAATTATGTTTATATGGATATATTTTCTAGGCCCTGAAGGGGATGAACAAGGGAAGCTAGGAACTGAAATTACTGAACTCTACTATAAAAGGTGAAAATAACATATCACTCTTTCTTTGTTTCCGTATGCAGATAACAATAAGTACAATGGTAGCATTTATATGGTTTTTGAGTACATGGACCATAACTTGACTGGTCTTGCTGATCGTCCCAGACTTAGATTCACAATTCCACAAATTAAAGTACTATAAGCATATCAAGTAAAGAATCTAGTTATTGTTGGATTATATTGACCTTCAACTGCCTGGCTATTATTGTGTCAATATTTCATGAAAAGTGTCAATGTTTAATTCTTGCTATGCATTTCTCTTTTTTTTGTATTGATTTCATATTGGCACATTTCAGCTCAGTTCCTCAACTTGCTCCTGTATGAAGCCTATGATGAACTTTATTTGTTGAGAAATTTGGGGAAAAAATAGGAAATAAAAGTAAAGGTTATGACAGGAATTTGGGTCCAAGACTAAGCGTTTCATTCATTCCTTCTCATCCCTTGTTTAAGATTAAAATGCTTAATTAACCAGTTACAATAACATTCCTGGCATATATATATATATATATATATATATATATATATATATATATATATATATATATATATATATATATATATATATATATATATGATTTAATTTAATTAATTTGCAGCTGGTGTCAATACCCCTCCTGACAAGTTACTCCTATATAGCAACATTATATGGAATTACCCTTTCACTGGTGCTGAACTGTGCATCTGTCATGAAGAATATTTTGTGTGTAAGCACGTACTATATTGCGCTAGCTAGCTAGCTTTTATATATGTTATCCGATCCAATAGATCGAAATGCCATTATATTGCATGCATGCATGCTCTAAGTTGAAATCTTTTTTTGTTGTCATCAGGTATCAATAGTAACTGCAATGTTTATGCTGCAGAATAAGGCTGTGGTAGTTTCTATATATGCCAAATTTAATTTAATTGGCTTATTCATTATGAGCTAGATAGTTTGGGTTGAGTAGTTTAAGGCTTTAAGCTGATCTGATACTTTGAGCTGGGCATCCATATATAGGATCAAACCAAAGAGGAGCAGCTAATGGCCTTGCAATGACAACATATGCTTTATTTCTTATTATTTGTGTGTTTTCTGATTTGAAATTTCTAGCAAAGAGAAATGTTACATTCTTCTTTATCCTTCCTTTTTTTTTTTTTCCATGAATTTTTTTGAAGTAGTTAGGTAGACTTGAGCTTCATTGAACTATGGTGCCAACAAAAAGAATAGCAGCAAACTAATAGATAAATTTGAATAGCATAAACAATTTATCCTGTCAATGAATTCAATTTAGAAGTAACAAAAAGTTCTGAATTAGGTTCACAAAGTAAAATAGAGAAAATGTATGTGACTTGATGCATAGTATTGAGCATGGGTATGCTATTTTTATTTTATTTTATTTTATTTTTTATCCTCCGCTGCTTCCTAGTTTTCAGTCAGATGATGATAAACATGAGCATACTTTATGTATGACAATTTATTATTAACAATGTCCTATGCGGCTACGCCTAATATATTGGAGATTTGGAACAGGGATTAACTGTATCCTCAGCATTACTAGATGGTGAAAAGTTTTTGGTTGCATTTGGTAGCTACAATGGGAAATACAGTAATAATGAGGTATCTTTCCAAATAGTGATTTACTATGTTATGAGCTCTTATATTCTCTGTTACTAGTAGCTCAGGACTTATATTTGCATCATATTATTCATATATCAAGACCACTTCCAAATTCTAATTTATATATATAATAATAATGTATTTGAAAAACAATTAATTTGTTGTTGTTCTGTTGTTCATGGAAATATGGAACAACTTTAATCTGGGAATATCTTTCCAGCAAATTAGCAAATATTTGACTTTCTTTTGCGCTATAACCCTACTTTTATGCTTTCTGAATTACTCCTTAACTTATTTCGCATTTCATTGCAAATTTATTAGATCTCTACTAATTTATTTACTTACTTTTTACATGTAGCTCCAACAAGTTGATTATGACAAAGCAGTTATTGATCTGGTGCGTTCTGAATGGGCCAATATTCTATCAACTTATATAGAGTAGGTATGATTTGATCATTAGAACGTTGTGATCATTTAGACTTGGTTTGTGGAATTGTTTTTTGTAGTATTATGACTTGGATGATATATGATTCAATTAGAATTGGTCATGGAAGTATTTAGACTTGTTATGTTGAACCTTAGCTTGTGCAAAATTATGTAACTACACTTGACCATGGTGAATGGATAAATTGATTTTTTATATGATCAAAATTTAAGCAGGTTAAAAACGGTTAAAAACCGTTGAGATAACGGTTAAAAACCGTTGTCTATTTTACAATAAACAACAGTTTGAAATTGTTGTTTTTTTTTTTACAAAATACAACAGTTTATGGGTGTGACTTTTAACAACAGCGATTTCAACAACATACAATAGACAACAGTTTATAACTGTTGTCTTTTAAAGAAAAGACAACAGTTAAAAACCGTTGTCTATGTACATCACTTTTAATAACAACGGTTTCAACAACATTGAATAGACAACGGGTAAAAAACTGTTGTCTTTGAAAGAAACGACAACGGTTTAAAACCGTTGTCTATGTACATGACTTTTAACAACACTAGTTTCAACAACACTCAATAGACAACAGTTCTTAAACCGTTGTCTTTTCTAGAAAAGACAACGGTTAAAAACCGTTGTCTATGTTTGTGACTTTTAACAACACCGGTTTTAACAACACTTAATAGACAACGGTTAAAAAACCGTTGTCATTTATAGAAAAGACAACGGTTAAAAACCGTTGTCTATGTGCGTGACTTTTAACAACACCGGTTTCAACAACACTTAATAGACAACGGTTAAAAAACCGTTGTCGTTTCGAGAAAAGACAACGGTTATTAACCGTTGTCTATGTGCGTGACATACAACAACACCGGCTTCAACAACACTTAATAGACAACGGTTAAAAAACCGTTGTTGTTTCTAGAAAAGACAACGGTTATTAACCGTTGTCTATGTGCGTGACTTACGACAACACCGGCTTCAACAACACTTAATAGACAACAGTTAAAAAACCGTTGTTGTTTCTAGAAAAGACAACGGTTAAAAAACCGTTGTCTATGCGCGGGACTTACAACAACACCGGCTTCAACAACAGAAATTATACCCCTATGAAAACGGTTATTAACCGTTGTCTATGTGCATTTTTCTTTTAGTGTGTACTCTCAGACATTATCATTGAATACAACACAATTATATTCTCATCTGGTATCAGTTAGCCAGGGTTTTCTTTTCCAACATCCATGTTCCTCACTTCGTAGCAGTAGCCGATGGCATCAAACCAAGATACATCGTATCAGAAGCGGTCCGGTCAACGACGTGGCGTGGATGATCCGTGTCAAATTTGTAAAGGTTTCGGCCACACGGGAGCCAATTGTGTTTGGCGTTATGATGATCCGTGTCAAATTTGTGACCGTTTTGGTCACACGGGAGCCAATTATTTTTGGCGCTATGATGTTCCGTGTCAAATTTGTAACTGTTTTGGTCACACGGGAGCCAACTGTTTTCGGCGTTATTCAGGGGCTCCGGGTTTTCAGGCTAATGTGGCCGTCTCTGGTGATAATGGTGATTCCAATGGTCCTCATCAGTGGTTCCCTGACACTGGTGCTACAAATCATGCAACGCCTGATTCTTCTTTGATGACTTCTGCGACAAGTTCTGATGGCTCGGAGACTCTGCGAGTCGGCAATGGTACAGGTTTGCCTATTGTTAATGTTGGTTCTGCTTCGTTAGCCACTGATTCTGTGTCTTTTAAGTTACATGATGTTTTGCATGTCCCTGGTCTCTCTTTTTCTCTATTATCTGTCCAGCGTTTTGCAAAGGACAATAATGTTTTCTTTGAGTTCCACCCTCTTTGTTTCTATGTGAAAGACATTTTGACCAAGAAGGTTCTTTTTAAGGGACATGCGTCTGGGGGTCTCTACACATGGCCTGCGTCTTCTGCTTCCCCTGCTGCATTTGTTGCTGCACGGTCCTCTTACGTTTGGCACATGCGGTTGGGGCATCCTCATTCTCGAGTCTTATGTAAAATTTTAGCGTCTTCGTCTGTTGATACATTTAATTCTAGTGATCTTCCCAATGTTTGTTCCTCTTGTCAATTAGGAAAATCTTCTCGTTTTCCTTTGTCTCGTGTCGAAACTACTAGTACGCATCCTTTGAAATTAATTTATTCAGATATTTGGGGCCCTGCGCCATTACTTTCTGCGTCTGGCTTTAAATATTTTGTGTTGTTTGTGGATGATTACACTCGTTATATGTGGTATTATCCCATGCGTGCTAAATCTGATTTGTATGCTATATTTGATAAGTTTCGGTCACTAGTTGAACGTTTCTTTTCTCGCAAGATTATTTCTTTTCAATCTGATTTAGGGGGAGAATATAAAAAGCTTGGTTCCACTCATGCGTCCTTAGGTATTCGTCACAGGCAATCATGTGCGTATACTTAACGGATAGCTCAATAAATCTAGCACAAAACTTAACGGACTGATTCAATTGGTATCTCTAACAATATACACTAAATCCGATTATTTTTACAAACATACTAAAATATATGTAATCTAGTAAGTGCCAATAAAGTTAAACCTTTAACGAGAACAAAAAAAAATGTTGATGTAATTATTTGTTGAAAGGAATGATTTATATTATTTTGATTTTAATAATTTTTTTAATGACTTTTCTTATTTACCCTCTATTATATTATTTTCTTTCCTTAAATAACGCTGCATTCCGTTAGTATATAAACTTTAGTAACGGAATATTCCGTTAACTATTTATTATTCTTAATTTAATCATTAATTTCTATAAGAAAGGTCGTAGGTTCGATCCTCATTCCAATTCGAGTTGGCATAATTGTTAAAACATATACTACGAATATGTTAAAATGTATTAAAAATAATATAAAATTTAACATAAACTTTTGTCAAATAATTAGTCAAACTAAATACATAGCATTCAAAGTTGAGCATCAAAGATTATAAATCAGGAACCTTAAAAATCATTTTCTTGCATTTTTTTTTAAACAAATTTAGGTAAAATTTTTTTTTTTTTGCTTAATTTATCTTCTTTTGATTATATTTAGAATAAGGCTCAATATTTCAATTATGTTTTTGCATTATTGGAATGATGTAGGTCATTATGGTATTAATATTTTTTGTACGTATTTCTATAATGGTACAATTGTACATTACTTTTCAAATATTGTACTATTATTTTTTTATAGACAAAACTGTTCTTACATCAGTGTCAGACCCGCGCGATATAACTACAAAGTTGTTGATCAGAAATAAATTATACCTGGACTCTAAAATGGTATGACCATTTTCAAAGAATTGACAATGTTGACATCCCACTGGCTCCAATTAACTAGTTTACAAATCATTCTCATAATTTTATCAATGCATGAAAACTTCTAAAGAAATTTGTAAGTTAATTTTTATTATATCATTATAACAATATCTATTGTAACCATATATTTCGAATTATTTATGAGTTAATACCCAAAGTCGTCCTCGACTATAGTGGTTTTTCTCAATTTCGTCCTAAACGACTTTAGTGACCTAATATCGTCCCAGACTTTTGTGTTTCGCTCAATTTAGTCCTCAATTTGTTATTCTGTCAAATTGGTGTTAAATAAAGGGACAATTTAGTAATGTCAATATTGATCTCTCTTTACTTTCAACTTGTAAAGTGCGAAATTCCTCTTTCTTGTACGAATTACACCCAGAATTACTCCCGGACCTGCAAATCAAATTTTATATTCGCAGTTTTAGGAGTAATTCTAGGAGTAATTCATAAAAGAAAAAAGGATTTCGCAGTTCACATGTCTATGAGTAAAGAGATGCCAATATTAAAATTACTGAATTGTCTATTTATTTAACACCAAATGGACAGAATAACAAATGATGGACTAAATCGACCAAAAACACAAAAGTCCGGGACTAAATTGAGCGAAACACAAAAGTCTGGGACGATATTAGGTCACCAA